AGCCATGTCTCTGGCTGCTGTAGCTCCTTGGCTTGTAACAGGAGGGTGAACCAAGAGGCAGGAAAAGGGAGGCTGCACCGGTGTCTCCAAATGTGAACTTTGTGTCATCGCAGCCGCGCTGGTGAGGCAAAAGCAGCATCCTCTGTATCGGCTGCTTGGTTTTCTTCAAACCGTTCTCCACCCCACAGATCTAAAACAATTTTCTCCTCCATCTCAGCTTCTCATCTATCCTAAAACTGCCCTGTTTTCCCAAAGATCAGGTTCAACCTGCTGCCTTCACAAGCTGTGTGCAGGGCATCTGCATCAGAGGGTAGAAATAGCTGGGAGACAGAAATAGTTCTTTCTGCTCATTTTCTTGTGCTTCAATATACATGTGTTCACTTCTTGAGAGTCACGCCTATTTGTGTGCGTGCGTACGTAGGTGTCTCGTTTTGTGAAGTACAAAGAGAATGAGAGAATATAAGGAAATGGGTAAAGAAATCTCTAACCCAAGAAAATGTTTTTTTAGTCAAAAGAGACAGTGGAAATTTTAAAACTTTTTTTAACATTTACCAATTAAAAAAGTTATTTCCCTTTAAAATTAAGGGGTAGTGGTGGTGTTGTTTTGTTGGGTTTTTTTAAACTGAACAAAGGATTTTATAACATTTTTGCTTCACACTTAAACCTTTTCCATGAAGAAAATGGTTCACTCAAAAGTTTAATAGCTCCTAAAACCAGATGTTTTAACATTCCTCCTAATAATTATTTTTGTAAAAGAGTTACTGAAAAGAATAGCCAAACTATGTGGTATTACTGTGACAAAGATCAAATTGAGCTAATAGAAGAATTTTAAATCTATAACTGCAGACTGAGCAATTTCCTTCATAATCATGTTCTTATATTCAAATTACATGAACAGCAGGGAAGATCAAGAAAGGACTCAAAATACCACTTCAGCAATCCAGGTCATGTTTTTGTTAGGACTTTAACGATGCAAGAGTATTGAGGAAGAATGCAATAAATACATTAACAACAATACATTATGTCCTCTTGTATAGAGAATTTCATATAGGTCTAAAAAGGATCCAGTTGCTGAGGGACAGAGGTGGTGAGTTTTGTTTCAAATGAAGAATGTTGTCATACTGCTCTTGTACTAGATTTATAGCACTGAAAAAATTTTGCTGCCCTGTACAAGCTGAAGAACTATGAAAAACTTAGAAAAAAAGCCCTAGTAATACAGTTTCCTTCACATGGCAGGGATTTGTATAGAGGCTCAGCTACTGCCTCATCAGAAATCAGATTAGATCAAGAGTATATTCTATGTGACAGAAGAGCTTTAGGTTTCCTACACTTTGCTGGGTTGTCTGAAACAGCACTTCTAGTTTGACTGCAAGAGTTACAGTTGCATGTTAAGGTCACTTATGCTTATTTGGCAGATCTAACAGTGAGCTCTGCTGGAGCACAGGCAGTCTCGGGGCTTTATTTGTACAACGGCTGTACATAGCTGGGCCATAATTACATTAAAAGCACTTACTAACTTCCCAGAGTGGGAGGAAGGGAGATATAGAGAAACCCATCAGATTCCAAAGTAATTTGGTAATTTGTTACCAAAAGTGTGCCTGCATCATTAGCATTTCTATGCAATTACTGACATTATGTCCTTATGGCACATCGTGTGTGCTCTCCTGTGTCCTTATTGATGATCTACATGATGACAAAACTTGGCAGCCACTTCACTAAATATTTAAATAATGTTGAGGTAGAAAGCACAGCTGTTTCTTCTATTTGGGAGAGGAGAAAAAAAAAAAAAAAAAAAGACGTGGCCTTTGGCGTAGCCATGATAAATAACATTTCATGGTGGTTCCCAAGGAACGGATAGCGTGGCTCCTACTGAGTGGAAGACCAGCTGCATGAAAAAGGAGTCCATATATTAACTCCTGGACAGTGGCTGGGAAGCAGGTGGCGGAGGCTGCGGGCTATTTTTACACTCCATTTACTGGCGTTGGGCGTCAGGATAGTAACTAAAAGCTAATGATCCACATGCAGTTTAACATTCTCCTGCGTTCTTTTTTTAAATAGCCACCGGCAATAAAATAATATTAATGAAGACGTACATACATTAGTGGTGTCAGGCTGGTGAGGGAAATCAATGTGGTGGGCTTTGTGATTTACTGCAGACAGCATATGATACAGCCACGTTGTGTAAATATATTATACTACCCAAGACTGCATCAAAGAGTTGTGATAACCTTTGATATACCTTTTTTTAATTTTTTTTCCTCTTGATGATGAGTTACTAGTAGCTAGGAAAATGGCCCTGCATTGCCTCTGGTGTAACTTATCCTAATCCTTGAATTTTACAGTCCTTTGAAAGTCAGTGCAAGGAAAATAAGCTTCAATACATAAAGGGTTTATGAATTACTAAAACCCATATATAAGTAATACAGAAACGGGGAAAAAAACTCCAAATTAACCTACTGTATTTGTTTCTTGCAGGAAGAATGTAGTATTAGTAAATGAAGCAATTTAAACAGGTTATTAAATCTTTTCTTGGTCTGGTAATGCATGTACTGCTACATCTGGGTTGCTTACATCAGGAAGTCACTAGAGATATTTTAGTTTTAAGTTCAGCTGGCTTTAAATTGTGTTTGCTAACAGCTGACGATTTTCTGTGTATCCTGTTGTTTTGCTTTTAAAAAATACACTTTTATTCACAGTTCAGGTAACTTCAGAAGTTATGGGCTGTGATATATTTTAAATTTACCTTTATTAGATAACATCAGCTATACATGGTGCTGTGGAAGAACTCACTTAAAACTAGGCCAGTCAAATGTTACAAAAATGTTTAATCAATCGCTGTTGTTTAACTTTGCAACATCTTCACTGATATACATGATTTCAATTTGGATCTTAATTTAGGGAAAGCTCTTAATATGGAGTTTTCCCTTCTATCCTAGTGTTAGAAAAATAAATGGGATTTCTCAGGAACACACCACTTTCCACACATAGCCTGCTCTGAGTGCAGGTTTGAGGGCTCACTGTAATTCCATGCATGCTTTCATGACCGACCAATGAAAACGTATAACAGTAATTAAGACATTTATTAAATAAAAATGGATCTTGTCTTAGACACAGGTACACCAAATTATGTTCTTACGTAGAGGACATTACAAAGGCATCTTTATCCTGTACCTACTGTAAACAGTTTGCAGTGACAGAAATCCCAGAGTGAGCGTCCCAGTGCACCCTGAGGAAATACTGCTTGGGGCCAGAGAGAAAACAGCATAAAGTAAATTAGTTCTTTTGCATTTCATCTTCTTTATGATTATGATTTGCACTCCACAGAAATGCTAATATGTAGGATTAGGATATTAAGGTGAGGATATTGTCATAACTGTCAAAGTATTGTTAATTAAACTTCTTGTTGGCAAGTTCTTCAAAAGTTTTACCAGCAGAATTAACTTTTGATTGAAAAATTATCAGAGGGTTGAATTCATAGAAACATGACGTGTGAGGAAATTGTTTTGGTCTGTAGATTTTAGAAGGATATTTCAGTACTTGTATAAAAACTACTTTTAACTGTCTAGAACACCAGATTTATTCTGACTTTTCCACTGCTAGAAATGTTTTGTGTGTGTCAGGAAAGTAACTTATAAAGGTGTCTAGATCCAGAAAACCAGGAAAAAACATGTTCAACAGAAAAATATCTAATGACAAAATGTTGTTCAAGTTTGAAGATTGTTTCTTGAGCTTTTTTTGCATCCTTCTTTTACAAAACAAGTGAGTCTAATGGAAAAGTTCTTGCAAAAAGGGCTCAAGTACGTTTTAACATTTCATGAATATAGTATTACTTAATGTAAACACCGAGGATTACTACAGAGGGCTAGGTGACAAAGATTTCTGGAGCTTTTATTTCTAGGTAGTTCAATGACATAGGCAAGAAGAACGTGAGCTCTCTATTCACTTGTAATTACAATTACTTCAAGTCTGACTGAAAGGAAATACTTTGAACTGTCAAACTTTCAAGTAAATTATTTTTCATTCAGTGCTTTCTAAAGAAATTTCAGTGTTGTTCTTTCTCATTGTGGAAGGGAAATTTTGCTTCACTCATTTTTTCTCATGTGAGAACTGTAATCTGTTTGCCTTACTGCCCTTATTCTTTAATCAAACAGTATCTCCCATCGTATGTTACTTTTCACATACCACAGTGGAGTGGTCATGAAAGACAAATCCCAACCAACGTTCAGCATCTGCAGGTATTCTACCAGTGTGCCACTTCTGAATTAAATCAGATTTTGGTCACTTAAGGAAACAAAAGTCCTTTGCTTTTCATTCCTTTCCTCTAAAATTGTTTTTTGTAGTTCTGTTCATAAAGGATCATGACTTTTTTCCTACATAAATCAGACAAGATAACCTCTGTGCCCTTCCAACATGTTGCATATTATTAGTGGATTTGATGAAAGAAGATCCAGTACTATCTCTTGGTGACAAATCCAAAAATAAACAAGTAGTTGGGTTTTGAGTGGGGGAGTGTGTGTGTTTTGTGTAAATTCTGGTATATTTAATGGTACAAACTGCTTGTATTTTGGGATACTTGAATGAAACCTCTGCTTTTCCTCTGAATTTCAGAAATGTCACCAGAGGGATTGCTGGAAGCAATTACTTGGTTTTCCTAAAAACCCAAATCCTGGATGCTGAAAGCAGGCTTCATGACCAGACAGGAACCTTATGTGAAAAGCCAGCATAGGTCTTCACTATGAAGAACATGTTTGATGTTATCACCTGCCTTGAGTCTGATTAGAAAGCATATCTGTTCAGGGCATGAGGTTCAACAGTTTAAAACATACACAGGAAGCATATAGGCTTTCTGTAATCTCAATTTAAGTGTAAACTAAAGCTTCGTTTGGAAACAGCTCCTCATTTCAGTGTGTCTCTGTGGTCTCTTTTATGGATTCATCAAAAAAAAAAATCAGAATATTACCTGAAGGAAACAACTCTAATAATACTTTATATGTTGTGCCTCACCAAAGCTTTTATGTTACTATTTTTTTTACAGTGTTCAACTACAAATAGGCTGGAGATTCTTCTTGTCACAATAAGAATCTTTGTTACACAGAGGCAGAAATGTGAGTTCCTAAACCAAAAATATAAAACCAACTCACCAGTAAGCAAGTTAATTTTAAGGGAATACTCTCTTGAATTATAAAAACTATGCAGAAAAAAAAAAATAAATTATGTGGTTTCCTGAGGCATCCAGCTTCATTTTTACAGGCTCATTTAATATGTCAATTCAAATGCAAGAGTAACTCATTTAGCTGGGTTATTAACTCTTACAGAGTCCCAGGAAATTAAGCAGGACAATAGAAGAGCAATATTAGATAGTATAGCCACATATGGTCTTATCAGTTCATCAATAGGTTTAGTCACGAGTTTTGTCCTCAGAGGGTAAGCCACCCATTTGAACATTAAATGGCTGTCACTCCTGCTTTGCAAGGTTATCATGTGCCATTGCAGGGGAAAGCTCTCTGAACAAAGTTGCAGCATTTGACTTATTTGTTCAAAATCCAAAGTCCTATAAAGAGACTAGGAAAATCTGCATCGAATACACTGAAATATGTTAGGCTAAGGTTCTTTCGTCACAAATTGTCTCAAGTGCTACCTGACAATGGCATTGTACGACGCATAAATAACACGCCCTTGGAGATGGATGTGCAGTAAAGCCAAGCTGGTTTTATTTCATATTTCACAAACTAATATTTGCATCATAGAAACTAGAGATAGGAGTGATCTGTGAGATTGTCTTGTCCACCCGTAGTGTTAATGTAAGTCTGTTCCCTGAAAAATATTCGTAAATGTTTCAGATTGTCTAGTTGTATAAAACTGTAACTGTGGAGTTTCATCTATTGGAAGGCTGGCATATAGAAGAATTTTTAAGTGGTTCTGTAACAAAACCCTAAACCCTAAAATCTTTATTTCCTAAAGGCATTCTGCTATTTCTAGTTGTGCTATCTTGGATGTACCTACAGTTCCTGGAACTATTAAAATCCTAATAAATTATTCCTTGTCCTTCATTTTTCATAATTTTAAATACAGAGTCATCACATTCTCCCAGTCCCTCGTGTTTTCTTTTAGCCAAGAATTACATAATTCCCTTAATTTTTCCTTACAAAACAGTTCTTCTGGCACAAATTTTTTTTTTCTTTGCTCAAAAATCTCTCTAACCTGTGTAATAGTCTGTGCGGTCTGCAGAAACAAGACTAAATTTCAAGACCTTGTAAATGTGCTTTTTTTTTTCATACTCATTATCTGTACACTTATGTTTGTGTCTTTTTTTTATGATGAACTCTCATTTCAGTTTGTGACTAAATGGCACACTAGGTTACGCAAGTGTCCAAGACACGTAATAGGATCCTTCTTTCCAAGCAAGAAATTTTTCTTCAGTAGTGTTTGCAGTTCTTACTTGATTTTTGGCTCGTATTTGTCGAACATGCTAAAAGTGGAAAATTTTGTAAATAGATTGTGAAACAATATAAAATTTGACAAAATATTCCTGTTGCTTTTATAGCATTTTTGTTAAAACATCTGGCAGAAGTTTCTCTGCTTGTAGCAGTACATAACCTCAAATGGTACAGGAGTTTCATCAAATAGCTGTTTTCTGGTCACAAGAATAGAACTCTAATCCTCTTTTTAGTCTAAATTCAATTGTTTTATTTCTCATCTTGAATAAATGGCTTCTGACTGAAATCTTTAATTTTTTCCTTGCCTGAGATCCTGATGCTGTTTATAAGCGTTTGACTAAGATATATTGTGCCTGTCTGTGCCTAATGAAGCACTAACCAGACTAAATGATGAATGGCAGTTTAATCAATTCAGTTCATTCGGTAACCAGCCGAAGCATATGGAACATAAATGTTAACCTCTGTTTTATAAACACCTGAATTATTCTAAAATTTGACCAGAACTGTGCTTTCAAAAGTTTTTCTCCATTTTTCTGAGGAGAAACTTTGCTTAATATATCAATGCTTTGGAATGTAGAATTAGAAAATAGTAATGTATGTTTAATTTTCTTCTTCAAGAAGTTTGACTATCAACTCTCACTGTCCTAGAACATAAAATTATTTCATTATTCAGTAGTGGTCAAAGCCTTCAGAGATGAATAAACTGTGGCTTGTCTGACAATATTCTTGGTTAAGTGTTATCTATAAATACTCGGCCCCAGCCTCAATGAAAATACACAATCTATTTTCATTAAGTTGTTTTGTTCTAGAACCAGTTCCTCACCAATATATGCTCAAATTCCTAAAATTGCATGCTACTTTCTGAATGCATCGTCATGATGCATAAGCAGTGAAAAGGTATGTAATTACTTTGCTCCAAATAGTTTACCTCTAAAAACAAAATGAAATTAGAGGCTATTGCTGGGATTTCCTGACAAAGAAGCACAACTCACTGTTTCTGGGGGAGGTGGTACCATAATTAGTTAGGCAAGTTCTTGGTTCATCTTGGCTCATTTTGATCGATATTTTGGGTTATTGAATTAGCATTTGTTTAGGGTGAGGTTGTTTTTTTTTTGCGTGGTTACTTATGTAGGCATGTTTGTAAAGCATTTGTAGGTGTTTGCATGGAGAACTTGTAGAAAAATGTAATTGAGCAGGTTAAAATATATCATCAGATTCTGCATCCTATTGGTAGCCAAGGGGGATGTTTTCTCTTTAAATTATTTTTGCTGGGGGAAAAAGCTACTTGAGCTCTCTTCATACAGAAAAGATGCAAATGCAATTTTGTAATTTGTTATGCTGTTCAGACACAGGTTACTTGAAATTTGAATGAAAGTCACAGAAATTTTCCTCAATTTCTGAGAATCCATTCTTTGTGCTGTAGTTAGTATGTCTTAGTATGTAGTTAGTGTGGTTATTTCCTCCCCCCCCAGTTTGACAGCACTTCTGCCAATGGCTGAGCAGAGTCAGGTGAGGAGGACTCATGGGAAGTACCATTTGTGAGAGCCCAGGACAGGAGCTGTAACGAGGTGACTTTCATGGTAGAGAGGGGAAGGATCCTGTTGTTTCTCAGCCCGTCACAGCAGGTCTCAGCCGGAGCTTCTGGGGGATGCGGTCAGCAGGTCCCCAGAGCCATGGGCACTGAGTTTCTTACTTTTATGCTGGAAGAGGGCAGAGGAAAGCACAGGCAAGCCCATCCCAGAAGTCAGCTGCATTTGGGCAGTAGCTTAGTTTAGTGCCCTTCTTACTAATGTTTTTCAAGATTCTCTTCCCATGCCAAACCCTTCCAATGTGTCTCCATGCTGCATTCCGTGCAGAATGTCCCAGTCAGACTCTCCCAAGGGTGCTGTCTCAATGCCATTCCCACATCCCCAGAATTTATTTGGGAGCGTGAGTATGGTGTTCAGAATGCACTCATACAAACACAGAGCAGCTGCTGGGCCTTTATCTATCTCAGCAGCTACCATCCGTATTCCTGCTACCGCTACACTTGCCTTCGCACACCTCTGAAGTGTTCATATGTATGCATTGGTTTTAGTAAATGTACGTGCTTGTCCTTCAGCCTGGTGTTGATTATAAGAAAATAATTAGTCAAATGCTGGTGATAGATACAAAAGCATTGTTGCTAGCCACTTAATCTGTAAGAAATCTTTCTAACATTGCATACATTCTTTTTTTTTTTTTTCCCTTTTCCTCTGCAGGGGAGTGGGTTGTATCTTTGTAGAAATGATTCAAGGTGTTGCTGCTTTTCCAGGAATGAAAGACATTCAAGATCAACTTGAAAGGATATTTCTGGTAAGTTCTTTATTGCTGAAGTAATGTATCTAAGAAAACAGAGAATTGATTGATAAACGTTCACAATATTTCTTTGTATCAGGAATTAAATCACTGAGAAAGCCAATGATCAGAAGCCTGGTTCACAAACTGGATAGAGTTTACTTGATATGTTCTTGAAGACTATGTAATAAGTTCAGATATGTATTATTTCAATTAATATTTTTCAAATAATCTACAGAAAGGCTTTTGCATAGTTGTGGAAAAAAGCTTTCTGAATGTAAGGCGATGGAAATCTAGCCAATTTGTTGTCCTCACATTGCACGTGATTAAAATGACGACTCTGGTTAATGTTATGATAGTATTGTAATGTTGATGGCAAGTATTTTTTGTGAGATCTATAAAGGAAAAGTAGGCTAGGAAATGAGGTGAGGAACAGGATGAGAAATCAGAAATTATGCTGGTACTCAAGTTCAACAGGAGCCCATGACTGCTGCTTCTGCAGCCTATCTGGGCTTTGTACCTTCATAAGGTATGTGTGTGGCTCAGGCGCTGACAACACGTCCATACTGGGAGTTAAAGAAGAGGTAATTTAAACTGAGCATCTTTACACGTTTTTATTTCCAGGGTTGTGGTGAGGTTTTTTGGTGGGTTTGTTTGTTTTAACTTGCTCTTTCTCCTGTTGTGCTCAGGGTTTAGCAGTTCCCTTTCAGAAGGCTCAGGGAACAACTTTTCTTGACTCCCTGATGAAGGGTTTTGTTTACACCAATGCCTGCTGGGCCTGTGCTGTTGTGGAGGGAGTTTATTTAGGGAAGAAACTGCTCACTCAGATACTAGCCAAAGTGGCTCCTGGTACTCTAAGGTGGCCATTGGGAAAACTATCACAAGAGCAGCTTCTTCCCACGACCTAGCAATCTGTTTTGCTTCTGACCACAAATTTAGAAGAAAAGCATAAGCACACCCTTGTGTTTAAAGGTTATTTTTTTAGTAGCCATTTATCTTAAATGCAGAGGATTTATTTGAGATTCTTTTTTGGCACCTGGGGAGGTAAAGAGCCTTTCATAGTATGTTTATAAAATGAACATTCTTCATTTACTTAGTCTTGCTTCTGCTGTGTCTTTTGTTGAGACATCAGGGAATTTAGCAACTGCTTTTAGGAATCAGTCAAAAAAAAAAAAAATTCCCTCTTATTTGATGGTGATATAAAATTATCTCATTTTCTGTAAAATTCTTTGTTATTCTGCCCACTTGGCTAATAACCTGAAAATTCTATTCTCTGGAAAAGGAGTGTTGTGCCACAACATACAGGAGGAGCAGCAGTTCTGAGCAGTTCTGTGACGTGTTTCATGGTTTCCTTTGTTCACCAGATCGTGTATTTTAAACTAGCAACTTCGGGGCAAGTTTTAGAGCTTTGCTTTCTTAAATTATTACACTTCTCTTTTATTGTGATGAAATTTCCTCCTTATTTATAGAACATGAAATGCTGAAAACAACACATTCATCTTTGGGGGCTTCATATCATTTATGATGGTAAAATTTTGATGAGTGTTTTTACTATGAAAATTAAGACTCCTAACAGCAGAAAACAGTGCTTCCTTTCATGGAGCCTTTTTCTACTATATCATAAGAAGTCATATGATGTTGTGCAAAAAGGGATATTGATGGGTGTATAGTATAAACCTATTTTTGTGTTTCTATAGACCTTTTCTTTTCTTTCCTCAATCCTCACAATGATTTGTGTGTTAAAATGCCAGGATAAATACCCACCAGGATGAGTTTTGAGGCCTGCCAATTTTTTAACATTCTTTTTAAAAACTACAGCCGCAACTATAGAGAACAGTTTTGAAATAACAAGGGATAGTTAATTGATACTGTTTCTATAATTTGATCTTTTACAAACCTTTAAATAAAATTTGGGACTGGATAGTTTTATGGTCCATTGTAAATCAGAGTTAATTTTTAAATCCCAATTAATTAGGCTTTCTAATGGAAGTGTTTAGTTATCCTTAACTAAATACTTTGAGTGCCTTTCTAATGTACTCTAAGCATCATTAAGAATTTATCTATTTAAAAGTTATAGAACAAAGTATTATTCTTTGGTTTTGTATTTGAACAGAAGGGTTAAATTAATTAATTCTCCAGTGAACAATGTGGATTGTGGTAGTTAATAGCACTGAAATAGAAAATTAATCGGGTTGTTACACCAGATAACTGACACAGTTAGCTCCCACACAGTGTGCACTTACACAGCTGTTAAAGAGAGAGATGAACCAATGAAAGACTTCCACAAAGTCTTGCCTTAGTTCACATTTTCAACATCCATCAGTGATCGTTTTCTTGTAACAAATGGTAGTCTTCTGAAAATGGTGGTAAGATACAGTCCACCTTCACACTAAACCTTTTCTGTAGTCCTCTTCCAAAATACTCAACTTGCAACAGGAGTTATATTAATTTCTCTGCTATCTGTTGCTATTTATTGTTATTAGTCATAGCTACACATCTATAGCATGTAAAGGGCCAGGTTGCAGCCTGAGGCTTTTAGGGAATCAGTTTATTTGTAGCAGGGAAGTCGCAAAATGCTAAGGAATTACAGTCAAGAAAAGTGAACAAAATGTAATGTGACTAAAAATTCTTAAATGGCTGTTTGATTTCCTATTGTATAATTTCCATTTATTATGTAAATGAAATTGAAATACATTTTATGTCTGCTATTTCAGCAATTATCAAGTGGAAGTCAGATTCTTGAAGTGCTTTTGCATCTTTCTACTGTTGGCATTCTTCACATATTTACATAGCCAAAGTAGATGCAACCCAGCATACCAGCATTTCTTCCTCATTATGACTGATGTTTATTTATGTTTAATAGTGGCTTCATCAAGTGATTGTATATAACAGATTAAGAACAGAGATTAATCTTTCAGTTTTGTTTAAGAACTTTCCTCTTTAAGCTTGTTTCCTGACTTCTGTTGTTTTAAACATTTATGGGTTTTTAAATGGTAATATATAAACTGATTCTCTATTTCTTACAGCAGCTGTTTACAGTTAAGTATTGTCAGGTTCCATTACTGTGATAGGCCTCAATAAAAAAGCAAGGGTTTGTAAACCAGAATCTGTTCCCAGAATCAGACCAGCACTTACAGATGTTGATGAATGAGTAAGCTGCAAGTTGTTATTGTCACGCTTTGGATCTGATAATATGAATTCTTTTTCCCACCTATACTTAAAAGTGTGAATTGCATCATAGAAACTAAGAGAAAAAATTGTAATTACAGCCTGCAAGAGCTAACAAGTCTTTTGCCTCAAAGTGTCAAATTAGTGATGTGTCATCATCATTTCCAGCACAGCTGAGAAGAAGCAGCAAACCATTCGTTTTGCTGTTCCCCGAGACAGGCAGCTTGAGGTTTTGTTGCAAGGTGCTAGGTCTAATGGACAATAATCTGATACAGTAATCTCAGCATTTCTGTTTAGTCTTGTAATATGTGCTCAAGACAGGATCCGGCTTTGATCAAGTGCACGTTGAACAGTAAAACCATGGGAATGGGAAGAACACGTGAGGCAATCTGTTGCATCAAAGCAAAATGACACAAAACTGGGAAATACTGTTTGGCCTCTGATAAGGAGTAGCTAGGACCTTTATTGGTAGTTTATTCCTGTTTATCATTTGTTAGCATACGTTTCTCTAGATACAAATTGTGAGGTTTTCTCTATCAAGGAGAACCTGCCATTGTAAATAAGTTTTAATTAAGTCTAAAAGCAAAAGCTGCACCGAATGCCTTCAAGCTAGCCCTATACCAGGGAGAATTCACAGCTGCCTGGATCTGGTGATGATCGGCCTGAATTGGTTGAGTGTTAGAGCTGATTACACTGAGGAGCCTGCAGTATGCCTGTGCATGCCTTACCCTGAGCCACACTGGAGGTACCAACTTGGTTACAGCTCTGATTTTGATGTAAGCATGTGCTTTTATACTTGCTATTCTTAACAGATTCGCAACAGATCAGAACTGAATTTCTTGCACTAGCATCATTTGTCTTCTGGAGAGAGTTTTTTAAGTGGGCAGGTATTTCTGTCTTTTCCACTTTACGTGAGGTTTCTGAGAGCCACTATAGATCAAAGTGAATTTTCCTCCCAGACTCCGAAGCCTTCCCGATAAGGGAATAATCTGTGCATTGGCTGAACTTTAGTCTTGGTGCCAGCTACGCTGAAAATTACACTTCATTGCAAGAATAACATACAAAAAGTCCTCCTGATACTATGTAGATCTCTGCATAGGCAGGACAAGGGCATTTAAATGCTCTTTCCTCTGTAAGTGGGCAGTGACTCTGCAGAGGCGGGCGTGGGCCGTGCGTGCGCTGCGGGAGCCTGGCGCTGCGGGTGACACCGCACAGGGGGAGTCTGCAGCCAGGAGCTACTGTCTTCCCTGACACGCATGTCTCAAAAAGCTGAGGACTCCTCTTTGATACCGGATGCTATTGCTCTGTTGGGTGCCATAATGCACAGTATTAGAAAGTAATTATGAGAGAGCAATGTGCATTCGTTGAGCCCAGCAGCCTGGTAGGCCAAGGGGCGACGGCAGAGGTGCTCGCTTTCCACATGGAGCTGTGCAGCAAACACTCACAACAGTGTGCAGCTGCAGGTGCCTACGAGAAACAGCATTTTCCTTTTGGATGAGATTGGAAGTGGTGCTTCTGTTAGTAAAGATTTAAAAGGCTGGCAACATTATTTTCTTACACACGTATGCATGTACATATATATGACTACATGCTTGAAGTATCTTGTATCATATAGTGCAGGCTCTTCCTCTGCAGCTCTGATGTTGATGGGTGTTTGTGAAGCTGTGGAGCGTTCTCCCTGTGGGTTCTGTATCTGAAGGTTTGCTGCATGTCACTGATGTCCTCTAAAGCCTGCAGTAAAACATTTTAACAGGCTTCACTTTCATTTAAGCTTATGACAGACATGAGTGAACTGTGCTTTCTGGTACGTTGTGTTAAAATCTTCTGGGAAGCTAGCAATGCTAAACCCA